GGAATCCAGTTCCTATCACCTAGCCCCTTGGTGCTATGGGCAAATGGCCTCAATATCCTCCCCTGCAAAATGGAGATAAAGATAAAGCCTGTGACCTCAGGGCGGTGCCTGTTGTTCACTGGGTAGAGCACCAGCCCCATATACCAAGGGTGGTGGGTTTGAACCCGGCCCAGGCCAAACTGCAACAACAACAAAATAGCTGGGTATTGTGGTGGGTAACTGTAGTCCCAGTTACTTGGGAGGCTAAGGCAAGAGAATCACCTAAGTCCAAGAGCTGGAGGTTCCTGTGAACTGTGATATCACAGCACTTCTACTGAGGGTAATAAAGTGAGAATCTGTCTCAAAAAAAAAAAAAAAAGAAAAAGCCTATGACCTTAGTCACTGGGAGCTGGGCAGACATCACATGTTTAGCCCAAGGCTTCGCCCATGGCAAGGGCTCAGCACAGGCTGGCCCCAGGTTGCTGGAGATGCTAATAAACTCACTAGCAAGTGAAACAGGAGACTGCTTAGGGGAAGTGATGAATGTGATTATTTAGAAGACTCAATTATTTCAGCAATATTTATTGTTATCCATCCTGCCTGACCCATTGGTGGGCATGAGAAAAACCAGGGGAAAGAGGCTTCACCCCAAAAAGAACTCCCAGCTGCAAGGAGCCAGGGAGGACACAGAACCTCACAGTGAGGGAGCAGGCCTGCTGGCTGACAGAAGCCTAAGGTCAGATCAGGGAGGACTTCCTGGAGGAGGTAGCCTTGGGTTCAACCTGGCTCCTCTCTCCCCATGTGTGCTTGGGTCTGCCCACAGGACGGAGGCTGATGGGAAATCCTATGTGAAGTACCAGGTGATTGGCAAGAACAACGTGGCAGTGCCCACGCACTTCTTCAAGGTGCTCATCCTGGAGGCAATGGGTGGGCAGATCGAACTCCGCTCCTATGTTATGCCCAATGCGCCTGTGGATGAGACCATCCCACTGGAACGCTTCCTGGTGCCCATTGAGAGCATTGAGCGGGCCTCTGGGCTGCTCTTTGTGCCAAATATCCTGGCGCGGGCAGGCAGCCTCAAGGCCATCACTGGTGGCAGCAAGTGACGGTGGCAGCCCAGTGAGACTGTGGCATGTGGGGCTGGGATTGTATTAAAAGTGGTTATTTTTGGTGACAAGTCTTGGTGTATCCATCCTTGGTGATCCACAGGAACTCCTGCTTTCATTGCTGCTTCACTGCTGCTTTTAGTTCAGACCCAACTAACTGTCAGGTGGGTTGGGCACCTGCCTGGGTGAGGCCAGGCTGCAGGGCAGCCAGGGAGATGAGGATGGCTTCCTGGGAAAAGAATGTGGCAATGGGCTGGGGCTGGGGAGGCTGGCAGGTGCCTGACCACCCAGGACACAGCCCAGGTCCACACTGTAGATCTGCCACTTAGTGAGGGGTATAGCCTGTACCTTAGTCTCCTCTTCTGTAAAATGGGGAGGATAGTAATAATGCCCCCTTCTTGGGCTGGGGAGAGCCCAGATTCCTACTAGGGTATGGCTGGCAGGCTTATTGCAGCTGGCCTGGGCAGGGCCTCAGGGACAGGTAGACTGGGGTGGTCTACCTGTTGGGAACATCCCTTTGAGACTGATAGGACAATGGAAGAGTGTGCACAGCAGTGTTCCAGGCTGACCAAGGCTCTCAGCTCTAGCTACACATAGTTACCAGAGTTGCAAGAGAAGCCCTTGAGAATGTCACATGCAAAGTAGTGCTGGGGCCACTGAGGAACACTTGAGTACATAGCTAAGGGACCAGGGAATCAGGGCAGGGTTGAGTGAGCCACCCAGCCTGGGAACCCAAGACTGGCATAAACACATAAGACTCCTGACTCCCAGCTGTACTTGTGTCTGTCTGTCCACAGTGCAAGACTGCTATAGCAAGAGGCCCAGGGGTGAGGGGCCCATCTCCAGAGAAGGCAGGCTTAGGTAGGGGTGGGTTCCAGCAAGAGAGCTAAGATTCCCCCTCCCCCCAGATCCTGAGACCCCCAGTGGCAGGGGGCGGATGGGCTCACCTCTGTGCGGATGGTGCGGCTGCCCTGGCCAGGGCAGGTGTTGACATATAGGTCGAAGAGGACACTGGGTTCAGCCACCTCTAGGTTGGGGTCAGCATCCACTCCAGCTTCCAGCCCCTGGAGGCCCCCAAATACCACGAGCCCATGCCTGACACCCACAGGAGGAAGTTGTCAATGACTATCCACTAGGGCCCACTGACCACAGTCTCTGGCTCTCTTGTCCCCATAGTCAGGACCCAATGTGTACAGCTTTTCCTGGCTCCATACTCCCACCCTTGGCCCCTGCCCCAGGTAGGAGGACACACCTGAAGCTGGGAATCTGGGCAGAGGCCACATCAGAGCCTCTCTCTGATGTCCCAATGGTCAGGTCATAGCCATCTTGGAAAGGGGCCTCAGCAAATACAGCACCTGGGTGGAGGGGGCCAAGCCAGCTCAGTAGTCCTGTTCCCCACAAGCCACGTGTTGGGGGGTGTAGAAGGACATTCAGGGGGAGCTGCACCCAGGCCCTCTCCTGTGCTTAGGGAGAATAAGGCAGAGGTAGGACAGACACAGGTAAAGGACCTTTGACTTGGGCGGCACCTGTGGCTCAAAAGGGTAGGTGCTGATCCCATATGCCAGAGGTGGCAGGTTTAAACCCAGCCATGGCAAAAAAAAAAAAGGACCTTTGACTTCTCTGGCCTTTTGCCTCATTCCCACCCCCAGAGCAGACATTATCTTGACAATCATGATACTTTTCCAGAGAAGCCTCGCCCCTACTCCCCTTTTTGAGACAGTGTCTCACTCTGTGCCCTGGGTAGAGTGCCGTGATGTCATAGCTCACAGCAACCTCAAACTCTTGAGCTCAAGCAACCCTCTTGTCTTAGCATCCAAGTAGCTGGGACTACAGGCACCTGCCAAAACACTCAGCTATTTTTAGAGATGGGATCTTTTCTTGGTCAGGCTGGTCTTGAACCATAAACTCAAGTAACCCACCCACCTTAGCCTTCTAAAGTGCTAGGATTATAGGGGTTAGCCACCACTCCCATCTGCCCCAGAAGTCCTTAACAGCATTCAAGGCCGTGCATTCAGAGAGACCCTAAAAGGGACAGGCGCCTGCCCAAGGGCACACAGTAAGTAGATAGGACAAGAACTCTGGTCTGATTTTTGGGTCAAGTAAGGTTCTCCACTGCCTCCCAGATAGAGGAATACAAGATATTCAAAGAAGGAAGCTGTGTCCTTACTGAGGCAGGAGGCCAGCCGGACGGTGTAGCCCCAGTAGAGACCAGCTTTGGTGCGAGGGTCCTGTGATGACACCACCTTGCCACGGTAGGTCTTGCATTCTGGAGGGGAAATGTAAAGTAGGGTAAAGGGGATAGGAAGTAGACAGAGGAGGCTCTGAGCCTTCAGGATGGCCAGGCCACCCCTGGGTCCAAGGAAGTTTCCAGATACCTGGAAGCTGTTTCTGGTTGAGTCGCACAGTCACCCGAAGTCCAGGCTCCAGGTTCTTGTCAATCTTCACCTCCTGGGGAAAAGCCAGAAGAAATGGGTGCCATTCCCTTCAAGACCAGCAGGGGTCATTATTCTCACAGAGGCCACCAGCCTAAGAGCTGACCCAACGGCTGTGCCATGAGAGCATTCATGCAACACAATGATTAACAATGAAGGCCTGGGGCCCAGTACAGACTAGAAGTGCTAAAATCCCAGTGCTCTACATTTTGGTGGCTCTGCCACTTAACTAGCTATAGGAGTTTGTGCAAATCACTTAACCTCTTTAAGCCTCAAGTTCCTCATCTGGCAAACCAAAAACTGTCCACAAATAAATAAGCTAGGTATGGTGGCACAGGGCTGTATTCCCAAAACTCAGGAGGCTGAGGCAGGAGGATCCTTTAAACTTAGGAGTTCAAGGGCAGCCTGGGCAACACAGCAAAACAAAACAAATGAGCCATAAACAATGGCTATTGTTAAATGCTTCACATGGGAACTGTGATGGATGATAACTTCATTTATGTTTTGTGCTTATTTTGAATCCATCACTCTTCACAGGGTAACTTGCTTCCCCTTCTGAGGGTTTCTCATGCTTTTCCCCTTTTGCCTATGTGCCATCTAGTCTGTCCTTTTTTTTTTTTTAAGAGACAGAATCTCACTTTCTTACCCTCAGTAGAGTGCTATGACATCACAGCTCACAGCAACCTCCAGCTCTTGGGCTTAGGCGATTTTCTTGCCTCAGCCTCCCAAGTAGCTGGGACTACAGGCACTGCCACAATGCCAGGCTATTTTTTGTTGCAGTTTGGCCAGGGCTGAGTTCGATCCTGCTACCCTTGGTAGATGAGGCTGGCACCCTACTCACTGAGCCACAGGCACTGCTTTTTCTTCCTTTTTTTTTT